GAAGTTCAAGCTTGGCTCGCCAAGGTAGTACAAGTCTTGACCTCGAGCTTGAGCTTGGTTCGAGTTAGAACCTTGAGCTCGAGCTTGATTTGAGAAAAAATGTTTTATAAAAATAAAAAATTATATATAAAAATATTTTTTATCTATTATTTAAAAAATTAAGAATTATAATAATTAATTATTATTATATATAAAAATAAAAAATATTATATATATAATATTTTAATTATATATATAATATTTTAATTATATATGTTATTTTCTATGATTTTATATTAATATTATTATTATTATTATTGTATGTATGTATACATGTAGCTATTCGATTTCGCCTCGATTACTAAACAAGCCTATAAATTGGACTTGAATTTAACTCGAAACTTGGTTGAAACCGAACCAAACTGAACTTTTCACGAACCAAATTCAAATAGCTCATGGCCACTCCTAGCTAGTAGTGATTCATCCTATGGGTTAAAAAACACAAATGAAGAATTGGGTTTCTCGAATCGGGTCATAAAACCTCATCAACATTGAAATAATTGTAAAAAACTCACGTCTACCAAATTTTGCAGTGGAAAATGTAGATTTTGAGGATGCTAAGTGGTCCATCTATTAGGAAAATTTTCACGAACAGGCCTATGAAAAATAGAATTCATTTGGTCTTTCTCTAAGCTGACATGTATATCGGTTAAAGTTTAACTGATTCTGTGAGATTTAAAGGCTTGAAAAAATAGATAGAACGATTGATTGATCAAATAATTGATTCCTCCATAATGGAGTTCTGAGTTAGTAGTCTCCCTTCACTGCAACCTCTTTTGTCGTTGGAGATCAAGAAATAAAATTTTTAGGTGGAAGACTGAATGGAGTAATGCAAAATAATGGTATATTTTGAAATTTTAAAGAATGGTTAAGGGCAAAATAATCTTTTCACCAATAAAATTCAAAAGTTCCAAAACTTTAAGGGCACTTCAAGTAGGTTTTTAAATTTCAAGGGCTTTTATGTATTTGTCAGATATTTGACGGGTACTTTAAGTAATTTACCATATAAAGATTAGGTAAATTATAAATAAGTACTTTGTGGGTAACTACTAGGTATCATTGACTTTTAAATGTTGTACATTGAACTCTTAGTCTTAGATATAGACCCATGTTTTATTTTGAAATTATTATTTTTCTTCTTAGATTTTGTTCTCAAGCATGAACTACATGGAGCGTGGTTCAATCAACAAAGAAGAAAAGTGCTTTCATTTTCAAGTTTGATTTTTCTTATTTTTTAAACCATATTATCCTTTCTCTATAAAACTAGAGTTTCAAATCTTGATTCTTAAGTTCTTATTTTTTTTTTACGTTTTATTAGACGAGAGTACGGGTGGCCACAATTCGAGTTATTTGTGAGCTACTCGAGCTCGGCTCGGTTCAGTTTCAACCGAGTTTCGAGCTATTCTCGAGCTCAATTTATAGGTTTGTTTATTAATCGAGCTGAGTTCGAGCCTAATAAACCTCGGCTCATGAGCCGGTTCAAATAACTACATACATACATAGAATTGAAATAATAATAATAATAATAATAATAATAATAATAATAATAATAATAATAATAATAATAATAATAATAATAATAATAATAATAATAATAATAATAAAATTATAGAAAGTAATATATATAATTTTTTTTTTATTTTTATATATAATAATAACTAATTATTATAAATCTTAATTTTTTAAATATCAATTAAAAATATTGTATTTATTTATTTATTTATATAAAACATTTTTCTGAAATCGAGCTCCAACTTACGAGCAGTTGACTCAAGCCGAGCTCGAACTCAAGGTTCTAGCTCGAACCAAACTTTAGCTCAAACCTTGTAGATATCTAACTATTTGTAGAGGTGTAAAGTGGGTCGTGCGGGCATGACTTGTGGGAGGCCCGTGCTAAAGGCAGAACGTGCCATGCTGGCCCGCGGGTTGTCACAGGCCGTGCCACCCTCCCTGGTGGAAATTTTGGGGGTCGGCTTGGCACGGTCCATGGCCCAGGCCTAGGTGAGCCCATGCTGTGATGCGAGCTTGGGTCGGGCCGGGCTGTAGGCCGTACTGTAGGCTTGGGCCACAGGGCGGGCCTTGGGCCTGGGCCGAACCAGGTTGCACTTTTTTTTTGAAAATTTTGATTTCTTTTCTAAGTAAAATTGTAAAACTAAAATATTTAACTTTCCTTTGAACTTTGGGAATTGTGAACTATTTAAAAAATTAAGAAATGAGAAATTTAAGTTATTTAACACATAAATGAAAAAAAAAACTTAACCAAATTGAAATAAGAATGATAGAATAACAAATTGGAAGAAAAATAGGAATTTTATTTCATTTAAATTTGAATGGTACAAATTACAAATACAATGATCGGATCATTGCATACTTGGATGAATGAAATATGAAAATGGAATAAATTAATAAAATACTATATGGTTACAAATTGAAAATACAAAATTACATTGTTAAAAAATTTAAAAAATATATCAAATAAATTAAATAAAATTAAAAAAATACAATAATTTGAAAAAATAAAAAAATCTATACAAGTAGTCAAATTCATGAATCATCATTCATGACTTTCATCATCTGCTTTGGGTGAAATATCCGGTGTAGTATCATGCCCTCCCTTGTCTTGTAATATTTCTTCTGCATCTAGCCAATCCTTGGAGCAAATGCACATCTCTATGCTTTCATCATTCATGCAGCTTCTTTTGTCATCTAGCACCCTAGTACCTACACTAAAACAAGAATTCGATGGAACTGTAGACACCGGAGGGATTAGTAGATCATGTGCCATGGCGGCGAGAACCGGATAATTTTTTGAATGTTCACTCCACCAAGCTAAAATATCAAAATTATTTGATCCTCCACCTAAATTAGAAAAAATTGCTTGTAAATGAAAATTAAATTCAATAAATGGACTTGTTGTATAACTAGCAGATTTCTGCCTTTTACTTATTAAATAAAAAAGTTTTTTTTCTCTTCTACTACTGGGCTCAAGGTTAGAAGTAGAAGAAGATGATGAACGAGTTGTAGGAATATTTTCCACAACTTCAAATTCATACAAACTATACCTTTCAAATAATAAATTATTAATTTCTTCTTTTTGATTTCCTATATCAATATTCATATTTTTACAGTATGATTCAAGTAAAATATTTAAACCATCTTTCCTAATCCTAGGGTCTAATATTGTAGTTAAACAATAAAGGGGAGAAATGTTCTCCCAATATTTTTTAAATTTATTTTCCATAATTTCAACAATACATTGCAATTGTGGATTATTTCTATATTTTGCAAAACAATCACTAATTACCATTAATTGATAAGGTAAATTACAACTAGTTGGATAATAAATTCCAAATAATTCATTAGTTGCATCATAAAAATGTTTTAAAAAATCTCTTATACAAACTTCCATTACCCAGTCTTTCTCAAATATCATATCATTAGGCATTTTTAAATTATAAAAATCAGAAAGAATTTGTTTATGAGATATACAACTTTCTAACATGGCATTGGTAGAATTCCACCTATGCTTTACATCTAATATAAAATGTTTGTAGTTTAAACCATAATTTTGACATAAATATTTGAATTCTTGTTTTCTTGCCCTTGAACTTTTTATATATATATAATACAATTTCTAATTTTTGAAATATGAGTAGAAATAATATTCAAGGCATCTTGAATACATAAATTTAAGATGTGACATGCACATCTAATATGAAATAATTTACCATTTAAGCATGGTCTTAATTGAGATTTTAAAATATTTATTGCAGAATCATTATTGTTGGTATTATCAAAACTACCATGCAAAGTATTTAAAATACTTGCAGCAATAGTTGGGCCACTATGTGACCGTTCAAGCCTAGTAAAACTTAAAATTCTTTTATTCAAAAGCCAATTTTCATCGATGAAATGGCCGATAACACAAATATAAATAAAAATTAATTTAATTCAAGTTACCCGGATTGCTGGTTCAAAATCCCAACTTGATTTCTTGAAACCTTTCAACGTCCAAGCCTCTCAAATTGAGATACTTGTGCTGGTTGAGCAAACATTTTTCTTGTTGAAAGTCGAAACTTCAATAAAGTTAAGACTTGAGAATTGGAGAATGCAAAATCAGACAATTAGCTAATTAGAATTACTTAGATTGCAGAGAATTGAGAATGTATGAGTATGAGAGAGAGAGAGAGAGAGGAGATTAAGAGAATTGTTGAGTTGGTGTTATGAGAATGGTGGAGGATAGGGCTATTTATAGGAATTGAACATAATTCAATTGCCCAAAATACCCAAAAAAACTAGTTATTTAGTTGTTGGGAGGAGTATTTTGGTCATTGTAAAGTTATTTATAACTTTACCCAAAAGGCCCCCTAAACTAGTTGTTATATAGCTGTTAGGGGGGAGGGGCAATGACTATATTCTAGGCGGGCCGAGCGCGGCCCGCTACGGGCCCTGCGGCGAGTCATGCCGCAGGCTGGGCCATGCCAGCACACGAGTGACAGGTTGGGCTATACCGACATGCGAGCCGTAGGCCGATCTCATGCCAGGCCAGTCCAAAATTGTATCGGACCGCGAGCGACCCAACCCAATTTACACCTCTAGCTATTCGGTTCGGTCGATTCGAATCCACCCCGGTCGAGAGTGTCTATTGTCTACCTTTCCCTTCCTTTCTCTACCTTTTCCTTCAAACCAATCGTACCTTAGTGTTCATTTGAAATTTCATCCTCCTGGATTTTTCTCAGCTGCAATGAATTGAAGGATGGTTCCGAGAAAAACAAAAGAAATTTCAGTGTACCTATTTGTTACTACCCAAAGTATGGGTACCTATGTATAATTAGCTCTAATGATTAATGTTAATTGTGAAAATTATCGAGAAAAGTATCTGTACTTTGATCCAGTGGGTCCCCTATATTGATGGTATATGATGGCGATGGACGTTCTGGATCGTCATTGACCATTCCTTTCCTTCCCCCCACGTCTAGAAATAGGCTACTCAGAACTCAGTACTCAACCGATCAGTGAACTTTTCCCGTACTTCTATGCAAATTTTTATTTATTTTGGTTATTGTTTAGCTCCCTCGACTCTCATCACTGCACACATTTCACTTCACCGTCGTCCGACCCAACAGACACTTCTTCTTCTTCTTCTCTCTGAAATGGTATTGTTAACGGGAAAGGGATACGGCCAACCAAAATCGGTGGCGGTTTTCAGATTGTGAAAATGGGGAAGACCTCCAAGTGGTTTCGGGGTCTGTTGGGCGGGAGAAAGGCAGAGTCGGCTGCCGAGGCTGGTGTATCGGATGGGAAACTGGCCAAGGAGAAGAAGAAATGGAGTTTCGTCAGATCGTTCAGGGACAAGGAACGTTCTGCGATACCAGGGCCAGAGGTGAATGGAGATGAAAGGAAGGGATCTTACAGGGAGGGAGGGTCCTGTTCCTACGTGGACGGTGTTGATCATAACAAGCACGCGATAGCTGTTGCCGCGGCAACTGCTGCGGTGGCTGAGGCTGCAGTGGCAGCAGCTCAGGCGGCTGCCGCGGTTGTGAAATTGACGAGTAGTGGGCGTTGCGCCACGGCGTATGTTAGCGTGAACAGTGGGAGGAGAGATGTATGGGCGGCTATTAAGATTCAATCTGCTTTTCGAGGATATCTGGTTAGTATTCACTTCTGCTTATTTCTTTTTTTTGTTTTTCTCACGAACCCATAGAAATTTCAGAAACCACACCGATACCCCATCTGCGGGACTGAACGGACGTGATTTCCTTGTTTTTTACACAATTGATCAACTGCTCTCTTCTTCATTTCTGTCTTGGGGTAAGAAGTTGCAAAAGCGTCTCTTTTTTCCATGATTTTGCGGATTTACAGTGAACATTGTTTAGCTTTACGAGTATTTCCTTTCTCCAATTTAAGCAAGTGGACCTTTTTGCTTCCCTTTTTCGAACTGTGTAAAAGCAATTAAGCTTAAACGAAATCATGGTTCTTATGTCCTTGACTACGTATCTGTTGGCCCGATTGCTTTTTGTTGACGCCTCCTGTAAACTCTGCAGGATCTGGGTAGACGGGGAGAGGGTTGATTTTTGGTTATTTGTTCACAATCTCGTGTTTCCTTTAATATTTGGTTTCCGATTTTGTTTATTGTTGCAAATTTTGGGCAAAAACACTGAGCAGTACGCATTCAAATAACACTTTTAGGATGCTTTCCTACTCGAACTTTTGCCGTCTTTCCATGTGTTGGGGATTCTTTTCTGATTTTTGTCGGCCATTAGAGAGATCGGACCTCAGAGAAGTCGATTCTTGTTCTCTAACCTCTAAAAGTTTGTTACTTTGGGAGTTTCTTTAACTTTCATCTTTTTTCTCCCCTTTTCGATTTGGTTTCTGAAATGGACGTATTATTCATATAATGTCATTATGTGCTTAACATTGCTAATTGCTAGTGCATGATTTTCTGTTATAATAATAGAAATGCGCGTAAGGGAGATAGAGTGCTTCTTTGCGTTCTACTTTCACACGAAAATGACTACAGTTCTGTGCTGTTTCTTCAGAAAATGACTCTTTTTGTGATTACAACAAGGAGGTTGGTGTTTATTTCCTATTAGTATCTAATTTGATTACCGCTTACCGCTATGAAGATTGATTAGTGGTGAGGACTGAGGAAGGCTCTTACATAGGAACCAATAGGCAAAGGAGATCATCTATAGCTAATAAGCTCCGAGTAATTAGTTCTTCGCCTATGGCAGAGGATTGATCACAACCACCTAACTAATTACTCTCTTAGTCTCTTTGACCCCAGTTTTGATGACAACTGCGACCCGTTTATGGATGTTGTCCAGCCTCTAGCGATTTACTTCATCCTCTGTACACAATTTCACCACAGAGGCCTCACCCACTGAGAAAGTTATTGACGCCCACTCGCCCAACCCAAGCATTCTGCATATGGAGGCTACACAATTGACCCGATATAAAAGTAGATGGAATTTACAGAGCAGGGTTTTAGGTGTGGAGAGAATATCTGTCGTTTCAATGGCTGGCTGGTGTTAGGACGACAGTGGCATATAATAATGTAAAGTATGCATGTTAGATTACTATTATGAAGATAAGATAGTCAGAGGCATGTGATTATCCTTTTCCATGGTGGGTTAATGAGATATGGTTGCTTCCTTTAAGGTCAGATTTTCCTGAATGTTGAATGATTTCAACAACGCGCATCTTTCTTCTATAAATTATAATGTTAGGGTCTGCACTGCACTTTTTTTTTTTTTTTATTGGAAAGTGCTCAATTTATTATTATATTCCTGTATTCCCTGTATTTGGTTGTTTGGGTATCTGGTATCCCTGTCTAACGATAGTTGTTCATTGTTGGATTTGAAATTGTTCTGATTTTGATGAATTGGGTATGAAGGCAAGAAGGGCTTTGCAGGCCTTAAAGGGTCTGGTGAGACTACAGGCACTTGTGAGGGGCCACATTGTTCGAAAGGGGATGGCAGAGCAGCTAAGGTGTTTACAGGCATTGGCACGAGCCCAGGCCCGGGCCCGGGCAAGTCGCATTCATGTTTCATTAGAATCACAGCATCTCAGCAGCAAGCACTCGTTATACCATCATCCTGTAAGCATGCTTTACTTCACCTATATTTTGTGCTTCATTGAGTGTTTTATAGTGCTCTGTTCTGTGTCTAGTGGAGTTGTTATTTGATGCATCAGAGACTTGATGGTGCTATAATGGCATGGGTGCTTAGTCGTAGACTAATTGTTTCACTCATTATAGTTGATAAATGGAGTAATGAACTAGAACAGAAGTGTGAAATGAGACACCTATGGATACTTGACGCAGGCATATACATTCAGCTGTTACCCTCAATGTTGAGTCTTGAGGTGTTTTTTCTTGAATCTCTCCTTGAGGCATGCCCCTAAGCATAATCCTTGCATGCTTTCTAAAGCAGTCTTATGATATACTCTTGTTTAATATGTCCAAACTCTGGTTTTCATCTATGTCATGGCTAATTTGATCGTAGTATATTCTTTAATCGGAGTCATGATTGATAGATGATACTTGTAAAATGATGCTTATTCAATTTTTCCTTGTCATGGAGACCGTGTACTTGTAATCTTTTGGTGCTCTTTTAGTCGCTCATGGAAGTTGTGCCCCTTTCCTGATGTAAATTTCAGTGGTTTTCTTTCTGAAATCCACTTTCCCAGTGGAAACAATAGATCTCTTATCTGTTATTTTGTTGCAGGGCCCTGCAACCCCAGAGAAGTATGAGCGTTCTACCCGTGCTAACAGTGCTAGACACGATCGGACTTCCAGTCTCAGGGTATGCACCACTGGAGGATTTTGTTTGTATTTTTGAATGAAGAGCATGTATTTAAATATTAATGCCAAATATTTTATAGTTCTACTGTATAATATACAGGACTATATATATCAGATGTCCGTGTATTTGTATACGAAATGCTTATTACCCCTCTCCTTGCTTGATGCAGAGGAATGGCCTGAAGCCAAATATCAGTGACATTAATTCTGACAAAGCACACGTTTGTCCAAATTGGTTGGAGAATTGGATGAACGAACGATCATGGGATCACCACAAAGAAACCCCAGTAAGAACTGACCCAGCAGATGATGAGAAGAGTGATAAGATTCTGGAAATAGATACTGGGAAGCCACATCTATGCTCCAAACGGAGGCACAATATCTTTCAATCATCCCAGCAGAACTTAGCTTCAGACAGGAACAGTCGGAGCTTTGCAACATTGGAATCACCATCCAAAGACTCCACTACAGCTCAGCTGTCAATTCCCAGCCCATCTTCTGGCGAAGTTCAGTCATCTAGCCCTCTGAAGTTCTACGAGGTTGATGACAGCGCTAGTAACAGCCCACAGTTTCTCTCAGCATCATCGCGGCGTGGCAGCTCGAGGAGAGGGCCCTTCACTCCAACTAAAAGCGACTGTTCACGAAGCATCTTCAGTGGGTACGGCGACTATCCCAATTACATGGCAAATACTGAATCATCCAGAGCTAAGGTAAGGTCTCAGAGTGCGCCCAAACAGAGGCCCGAGTTTGAGAAGTGTAGCTCGACCAAGAGGTTCTCTATTTATGGGTTTGGAGATATAAGGTCAACTACTACGCAGAAGGCTTCAGTTCTGCATGCTAATTTCGCTAGCAAAGCATACCCTGGTTCGGGCCGGCTGGATAGACTTGGGATGCCATATCGTGGGGACACAATTGGCTATACTGGGTTATACGGCAACAGATATTAGATTTGCATTGCACATGATCTTTCAAGCTTTATGGGGGGTTGGTTTGGTTGTTTTCGTGGTTTTTATTTTGTTTATGATCTTACTGGACAGTGTTGTATTGTTTGTCTATAAGGGTTCTTTCATCTTTGTTCTGCGTTAAACAATGTGAGCTTTATTTTTTCCAAATTTTTTTCTTAGAAAACAGAGTGGTTCTCTGGCGTGTGAGTCCACCTCCAGCCTCCAGCCTCCAGGCTCCATCTCATTTTCATCCCTCCAAGGCAAATCTGCTCAAGGTTCGGGAAATCAAGTGAACAGATAGTAGTAGCGTTGCGCAAGCTTTTGTTTGTTTCGTTTCTAAGAAGGAAATGGTAGTACGTAAGACAGGTTTAGGACGTTGTAGTTCAGTAAATGGGGTCACGTTCAAAGATGTCGCTTCGCTGCTGCAGTCTTGGATGTCGTTGGTCATATCAATGTCATTGATATGTGGTTTTTAACCGTCATGATGGTCCCTAGAGCAATTAGGCTGGTGAGACTGAGAGCTAGACTAAGAGCCCAAAGATGGCGTGTACAGGGAGTTAACCGCATTTGATGCAACGGTTCGTAGGACGTACTTCCTCGTCTCATCGTCTCTGCTCAATTTCCGTTCACCGTTCTTTTCTTTCATTCTTCCTCTCATTTGGCCGGTGAGTTAAAAACAATGACACCTACCTACAGACCTACTGCATGCCAGTCCAAACTGACATGGTGAATTTTGTTATCCACGTTGTTTTGTATTGACGACGCATTCGAGAATTTGCAGGGGGCCCGCCCAAGGCTCAAGCCTGTCATTTGCTATGAGTTGGTCGGTGGCCATTTCTGGTTTACTGGTCATTGTCCTCGGCGAAAACGAAAGGAGAATATTGGAATATACAAGGGAAGTCTGCGATTTGCATATATATCATAGGCCCATCCTATAGTGCATTTGATTGGAATATCTAATCTTATGGATATGTACTGATTGATGTATGTATGTATGTATGAGTCAGAAAGGGAAACTGAAAATCCATCTTGTCAAAATCAGGCGATTTCTTCTTTGACCAATGCATTTTATGGGGTCCCAGCAACTTAACCATCGGCTACAAATGGAATTTAGATTAGTCATACAGTTTTGACCCAAAGTCCAAATTGATCTCTGGGATAACTGGGTACCCAGTCTGCAACTCAAGGCATTGATTCTAAAATGGCCTAACCCCACAGTGACAGTGGAGCACACCCATCTGATTTCGGATCAGCTTCCAACACATGGAGAGTGTTGGGAGCGTTCGATGGGTGGCAGATGCCTAATTGCTAAACAGACGCAGCCGAACTGAAGTCTGAAACCAGTGCCAGGAGGACATGACATTTCCCCGTTCCTCCGTCAGTCCTTACCTCCGTTTATTTTTATTTTATTTGTTTTCTTTTTATCGTTTAGAGTCTCACGGCTGTTGGATATGCACGGCACGGCGGACTGGCGGACGGACCTTGCATTTGTAGGGGGTCATGTCATGGGTCATGAGTCATGTAGGCGAGAGGCACCAGAAACCAAAGGATGGATGACAAGCTGGGGCCGACGGGCCGTGGTCCGTGGGGCCTCACTATTCAAGGAGAGGGAGCACTGACACTATAAAGAGACCAAAGCGTAGAGCGTGGTGCCGTAGCGCTGCCCCACATACTTCCTCGATCAAGATTATTCCAAGCTGTTTGCTGGCTACAGACTGCGCACCTTTACTTGAGCCTCTTCAAACTTCATTTGTCCAAATTGAACATTTAATTGGGGGAGAGGACTACGGTTCTGCGAGTTTAACGTGTAACATTTTTTGATGGATGAGTTTAACTTGACACATTTCAGCAATTCCCGGATTTAAAGCAAACTCTTCCCGTGGCTGGTGTCGGCTGATTTGGTCCACTCTCAGGCACATTATTGCTGTGTATTGCGAACATCTCCAAATGAAAACATTATTATTTTTGATATTATCATCGAAAAATATTCCTAATACAGGGTAGGGATGTACTATAAGACGTTGTGACCTTGTGGGGGACAATTTTGTAGATGACTGATTTGATCTCGCAATTTGCTAGATCACGTCACGTTGCTGGTTGGGTGGTTCCCGGCTTGCTTCTGCCTCCACGATTCACCGTATTTAGAAATGTTGATTGCGATATGGAACTCGTAACATCAAACTCTTGGACGACTTGGGAGTTGGATCCCACACTCAATATTCAGATCCATTCTAATCTAAGACTATATCCATAAGTTACTAAAATAAATCCACAAATCATTAAAGTATAACGTGATCCGAGGCAATATTATACAAAGTGTATAAACAAACTTCATTTTTCGTATTTTATTGTTGTATATATAACAAGACATGTCACATACCTACCTACCTACCTAAATCTAATAACAAAATGGATAATTAAATCGAGTTTTATTACTGAAAATGGTACGGAATATTAAGTATTATTTTCTTCACGAATCACGACTATTGTTTTGTGTTCTTCTTTTTTTTTGGATTTTTAATTTTGGGTCATGGCTTCATGGGTGATATGGGTGGTTGAGGTTTTAGAAAAGTGGTTGGGGATCACTCCATCAAACTTTAATTAAATTAAAATTCCTTTTGCTATCCAAATCCAATATCTGCTTCCCCAAATAGTCAGGGCCCATTTTGCAGCTGCAGGTGACATTTAATAATCTCTCTCTCTCTCTCAAATTATACTAATTTCACATTATCATAGGTCACACCGTACTACTCTACCTACCTTTCATCCTATATATCTAGAATGCAACTGGGCTACATGTGAGCCTCTGCTTCTAGTTCTAGTTGACTCACCTACACTATGGTCTACGGTGCCACTCGTTGAAGGACATTTATGTCTTCATGCGTCCAGTAATTCTCAGTGAGTTGATGAACAATTCTTTCCTTCTTCAAAAGAGTAAAAGCACGTATAGAATTTAATGTACCGCACCGCACGTGATGGAATCGTTCCGATGTGATCTGAGTCCGCACATCACATGCATAATGGGTCCCAACCAATTTTATGATGGGTCTCAGTCTTACTATATGAATGCGTGGATACATATATTATGTTGGAACACGAGATGGTGTCAGTGTCACGGCTGGGGCTGGGCTCTCGGCATTGCAACATTATTATGTAATGGTGGGGGTGCGAGTGACTGAGTGAGAGTGAATTTATGGACGTATCACTATCAGTGTTACTATGCTATACGACAGGTCAAGGGTCAGGCTGAGTCCAAAGAACCGGCGGTCTACACTCTACACTACATGTATCTCCAATGCATGAGCTAAATGTGGAATGGAGTGGAGAAGAAAATGTGTCCACCATGGTCAAACTAAGACTGAGGAAGCCATACTTGATACGTCCAACCTGGCAGCGATGTGCTGAAAAGTTGCCCAATTCAGCCCGACTTAAACTGGACGGGCTGAAACTACCCCACCAGACCAGACCAGACCAGACCAGAAAATTACTGCAGAGACAGGTGGGGCGGTGGAGCCATGGAGGGAGGCAGGAGGCTTGTCCATTTGTCTTCACTACTGCAGTTTTACTTGGAGCAGTGTGGCTGCTTCTTTGATTCCAATCCAGTCCAAGGTTGGTTAAAGCAGAAGTTGATGAGTAGTAGAAAAGTGGAACATGATGAAAACACACAGATAGTCTGATACAGAACAAAACAACAGTAGTAGAGTTTTGACATGATGACCATAAATGTTGAAGTGAATTTAACTACATACAAACAAGAACCCAGGGTACTGAAGAAAACAGATTCATTGAACCTGATGCATGCCAAGTGATCAGGGACCAGGTGTGGTTAAAAAAAACGAAGAATAAGAAGAAAAACCAAAATCTAGTGTCGGTGGCCTTACTGAAATGGATGGAACCCTCTGAATTGTCCAGCAAATTAATGTTTAGTGCTTGTCCGGGCGTTACTGCTTTCACCATCGACTCCAAGTTTGAAGAAAGCTCTGATTTGAACTTGGGGAAATGGTGGGACCGTAATATTTTGGTTTCTTCTATATAAATTCACAACGGAAAATTTCAGAAAAGAGCTCAAGTAAATATACTTTTTAATCTAGTATAGTATACGAGTTAAGGCTCAGTTTGGGGAAATGTACAAATTAAATTGTTGGACCCAAGCCCAATCCATATAAATTTTCGGACTGAACCGGTTTGGGCTCAAATTGGGCATACCCGAGTTGCACCTCTAATCCCATCCCACCGCACCTCTTAACAATATCAATAGCTCGTGGAGTCGTGAGGTAGGTCCTACCAAATGAGATAGGTGGAGAATCTCTCTTTGTCAATGTTCCAATTTGCCAACATGATCTTCTCTCAAAGTATGACTTAATTTGATATGCAATCTGCATGTCACACAAAAAATACGTGACTCCATGAAATCTAATTCTTATTCAAGAGAATATCATTCAAGCATTCATTATCATTTTCATATAAGCTTTGAAAAGCAAAAACAAAACCCTCCAATATTATTTATCACAACACCACCTCCTCCGCTTACCCTTGCAATTCCACGACAAATGCCATCAAACATCAATTTGGATGGAAAATCACATGGATACTATTGATACACCCATCTAATCTTAAGCACCTAAGATGAGAACAAGAGAATTATTATCAGAAATAGATCGGTTGACATGAATGGTGCTAATTTCTATCAACCATTACCGATTCTTTCCTTTTACTAAGAGAAGAAGTTAGAGATCCTTTATTTTCAGACCTGAGCTTTCATCTGTCCTTCCAAATCACCATATTAAAATGGAGTTGGGAGCTCTTATGAATAATAACATTAAAGTACCGGAAATGTTCCCGATGTGTGAATAGGTGCATCGATGGGTACTTCACTATATATATTTATTTACTTATCTACCCCGCTGAAAGTGATCAAATTCTGAAATATCCCTTATTTGGGGTTTCAGGAAATTACACCTGATATAGCCGGGGCATATTGTACAAAAATTTTGATGGAGTTGAGAATCCTTTACATCATTTCCATCAATGAAACGATGGAATTGTATTGTGGGAATCGTGAACAGCTTACAAAAAAGAGTCCACAACTACATGCCAAAACACTATTTCCAATCAAATGGTCAGCGATTCAAGGTTTATTATTTCTTTGTGACAACCGTGCACCACTA